AAGTTCAATTCTATTTGGGTCATTGTGGATAGGCTGACGAAATCAGCTCACTTTCTCCCAGTTGGGACCACCTATTCAGCTGAAGACTATGCGAGCCTGTATATCAAGGAAATTGTTCGGCTACATGGTGTTCCGTTTTCTATTATATCTGACAGAGGTGCCCAATTTACAGCTAATTTCTGGAGGTCTTTTCAAGAAGGTTTGGGTACTCTTGTTAACCTTAGTACAACATTTCATCCGCAGACCGACGGACAAGACGAATGCACTATTCAGACACTCGAAGCTATGTTGCGAGCTTGTATCTTAGACTTCAAGGGAAGTTGGGAAGATCATTTACCACTTATTGAGTTTGCCTACAATAACAGTTATCACGCTGGTATTCAGATGGCACCTTATGAGGCACTATATGGGAGGAAATGCAGATCTCCTATTGGCTGGTTCGATGTTGGCGAGACAAAGTTGCTAGGACCTGAATTGGTACAACAAGCTGTAGAAAAGGTAAAGTTGATCCAGGAAAGGTTGTGTACATCTCAAAGTCGACAGAAATCATATTCAGATAACCGACGTCGAGACTTGGAATTTGTTGTGGGAGACTGGGTATTCTTGAAAGTGTCGCCTATGAAGGGTGTAATGAGATTTGGTAAGAAAGGAAAACTCAACCTTAGATATGTTGGGCCATATCAGATTGTTCAGAGAATTGGGCGAGTAGCCTACAAACTTGACCTGCCACCAGAATTAGAAGCAATCCATCCGATATTTCACATTTCCAAGCTTCGGAAATTCTTAGGTGATCCTTCTTGCATCAGCCCTATCGAGGATATTGAAGTTTCCGAGAACTTGTCATATGAAGAAATACCTATTGCCATTCTTGACCATCAAATTCGTAAGCTACGGACTAAAGAGGTAGCCTCAGTAAAAGTACTTTAGAGGAGCAATAATGTAGAGGAAATGACATGGGAGGCCAAGGAGGACATGAAGTCCAGATACCCTCATTTATTTGAGTCTTCAGGTGATATGCTTGAGACAAATATGGCAGTTGTTGCACATATATCAACCAGTGACAGTTAAGGTAATTATGTCATGTCTAACCTTCTTATTATCATTATTGTATAAGTAAATGGTCGGGTGAGGCCAAGTTGATGTTATTATTATGATGTGTAGCCCNCTGTGTGGCCTTAGATATGTATGTTTGGGATGATGACAGGTTTTGGATATTCCTATTTATAGGGGAAACTCTGGCGAAATTTTTTTTTTAAAAAAAATCAGAAGTTAGGTTAACCGTTAGCATTCGAGGACGAATGTTCTTAAGGAGGGGAGAATGTTACACCTTGTATATTCGGCGTTATCATGCTGTAAATGGGCTAATTCGATAGGAAGATAATTTCTATGAGATATTTAAATGATGCGATAGTTATATGTTAATATTGGAAGTCATTTGAGTTGTGATTAAAAATTCGACAAAGATCGCGCGCAAGTTACGGGTTTAAATTTCACTGGAATTTGGATAAAATGTTGATGACCTTTTATCTCAATATACTGGGAGTTATGGTGTGTTCTACCTACCAAATCGAAGGTCTATGAGTCTAGTTTTCAACGCAACAAACCGTTTGTTAATACGACTTTGGAATAGAGAGATATTAACATTTTCGTATAGGGGTGCACACTGTTACGGGAACAGTGTGCCTAGTCGGGTTTAGTCAAAATTTCTTTATTTAAGTCAATTTTTAAAACAGAACCCCTGCGTTTTATCCTCTCCAAAACAGAACCAAAAACCTAGGGATTTCCTCTCAAACT